GTCTGTTCAATAGGAGTTGTTACTTTAATCTAGAAATATCATCCTGCCTCTGGTCTTAGCCTTTTTCCTTTGCTAGCACAAGCAACCATCCCTGCAGTGTTTCAGTTACAAGTTTGAGCCCAAACAAAACCACTTAGTTAAGAAATAGCATCTCTTTGCTCCAAGTATAACTCCACAGTCTCTTCAAGTGGCCTCCGATTTTTCCCATGAAACTTCATAGATAATTTTGTTTCTGTTAAGCACAGGCAAAGACTTCTGCCAACGATTAGGCACACACCCAAGGAGCCCTTTGGATGACAAATATCTGCAGGTTTGGAGCCATGAATGGGAGTGAGGAGAAGGAGGTGTGTGTCAATAAATATAGGTAAATTGTGTAGTGCTAGTTTTAAGATTCAGTAGAATTAGGCTTAGGTACCATGCTATACTCTCTATTCCTGCCCTGCTACAGCTACCATTCAAAGTCATTATTCAAAGGTGCCTGAGTTGCAACTGATTACGGTTACCTGTAAGTCATGCAAAGCCATTTATCTTGGAAATTACCCAGTGCCACTCCTTCAGTGTCTGTTCTTTGTGAGACAGCAGGATAAACTTCAAAAGTATCTAAAGGGTGAGTTGAAGGATGTTGGAGCCGGACTCTTTTCAGTGGTTTCCAGTGATAGGACAAGGGGCAATGGGCTCTAGCTGGAACATGGGAAGTTCCACTCAAATATGAGAAAAAACTTCATCCCAGTGAGCGTGACAGAGCCCTGGAACAGGCTGCCCAGGGAGGTCGTGGAGTCCTCTTCTCTGGAGATCTTCAAGATCTGCCTGGATGCAGTCCTGATTAATGTGCTTTAGACGTTCCTGCTTGAGCAGGGGAATTGGACCAGATGATCTCTAGAGGTCCCTTCCAACTCTGACAATTCCATGATTCCATGAGTATTACTCTGTATGTAGGCCATAGAGTGGACTTCAGCAGACTCCAGATGACAGAGGGACTGCTGAGAATTAATTTATTAGGTAGACAAGTGAAATGTCCTATGAGGAGTTAGCAGTGTTTTTATTTATTTTTTCAGTCTTTAGGATTTCTGCCTGCTAAGACATCCACTCATCTTTATAGGATGCTGTTTTATCAATACTTCCATGTATTGTTTTTTTTTTTTCTTCAAATCACCATTTTCTTGCACTTATTACGTTCCTGGTAGATTACTGATATATGACAGGGAGAGAGCTGTTCCGAAGTGGCAATGTCTACAAAATATTGTGACTCTCTCATTGTTTTCTCAATGGTTTACAATGCGTTTTCAGTTCCTCTAGCTACAGAGGCTTTCAGTATTTTAAATTTATAATTAAAGGGGTTATTATATTTGGCTTTTATAACAAGAACCACTTGAACAGTTTCCTTATTTAGTACACATGTAATTGACAATGTGTAGGGGGTTGCCTTTTTTTTTTTTCTTGAAAAATACAAAGCAAATTGTTCTCTCTTGTGAAAAGGGTGTGAAATATTTATCCTCCGTGTCTCTGCAGCTGCAAAGAAAGCTCTAAACTTATAGAGAAAAAGTTGTTATTATGCTCTGGGGAACTGGGGGGTGCATGTGAGGAAAAAAAATTACCCTGCTAGGCAAGCAATCCCCTGGGTCACTTTGCTCTGCTATGCTCACAATATATCAGGCACCATATGTGCTGTAAATACAGAAATTCTGAATAAAGATTGATATTTGTTCTTTGTCTTATCCAAGTCATCACCTTAATCATTTGTATTTTGGTTCTGTTAGATCCCCAAGTTAAACCTCTCTGGCAGCCTGATTTAAACCAGGCTGGGATTTGGTTTTTGCAGATGCTATGATAATGAGCACAAAATGCTGCTTTAGTATTCTTGTGCTGCTGTGTAGTTTGTAGGGTGTAGGATGCTGTTGTTTATTCTGCTATTTGACCTCGTGCGTCTTAATCATGTTTTTCAGCGGTATCTGCCCACAGTCTGTCGTTGCAGCAGAATATAAAATTGAAGCAGGTTGTTACCTCCAGATGAAACTTAGGCTTTGGAAATGGAGGTAATTATCTAAACTTCGGAGTGTCAGCCAGAAATGGTGTTGCTGCACACTGTATTAATACTTTAGTAGAAGTCATTCCAATTACCCAGCTCGTCTGTTACCAGCCATTTAGGGACTGGATGTTTTGCAGGAATTTGAATGGTTTCAACGTGCTTATTTTGTATTGGAACCAAACCAAACCTGTGATGCAGTTTTACAAAACTGAATGGCATTGAAACATCCAGTAGAGGAGCTTGTATGATGGTTGTGTGACAGGGGAGCTTTTGACTGGGAAAACCTTCCACGGGAAATTTGCCGAAAGAGACTTCCCCATGAAATGCTCGGATTTGAGAGACTGTTCAAAATGAATGGCACTGAGTCATCAAAATAGAGCCAATGGTGAGAGGCAGATGCTTGTTGATGTGAAGGAAGTGAGTACTACAAAAATGTGACACGGAGTCAAGTTTAAGCAAAATATTGGGTTAAGTCTCAATAGCATGGTGCAGAGTAATTGGAAGATGCAGTTATCTTGACTCCTCACTTGAATACCCAGATGAATGCTATAATATGATTTGACATTTTGACCTAGCACTGCTTTGCAATCTGTAGGCAGATATACGTTTTGCTGAAGAGTTGTTTCTGAAAGCCTTGTGGTCAAGCCTAATCCCAATGATTTTCTGGTATTCATGTGTAGTATCCTAACTTCTAAGGGCAGAGGCAACTTTCCGAGTGGGAATGTGCTTATGTTCACTTTGTGTCTTCCTCTTCCCTCATTTGATCCTTCCAACAGCTTTATCTCTGCTGCAATTGAAAAATAATTAGGGTTTCTGATCCTTTTCAAAAGAAAGAAAAATGATATAGTTTGGACTTCTTGAAGTCCTTGCCTGGTCTTGATTTAGATTTGGACTATAAGCTGAAGAGTTGAGAATGAGATTTCTCAAGCACAGGATTGTCAGTGTGACAAGAGGGAGGAAAGTGTTAAAAGAATTTTTTTTTACTTCTTTCACCAGCTAAGTAGTGCATGGTTCATGTCCTCAATGCCTTGTCTTCTCATTAGATTTCTCAGTATAACAAAGAAGATAAATCTTGGCATTCCGATATTTTTAAGACTTTAAAAACAAATAATCTTTTATCTATGTACTTTTGCCTTTATGCACTCCCTTAGATCTGTGAAGATGCTTTACATCTGAAAACGCAATAGAGCTTTGCCAGTAACAGACAGAAAATGACTCATGAAAGATATTTCCCTGTTTGTCTGCTCCTAACACCCATGTGTCGACCCGGACTTAGAATTTCTATCATCTTTGTTTACAACGTGTCAGTCACCCGAAACAGCCCACAGAGCTCTCCCCTTCATCCCTCTGCTTTCTCACTGGCCTGAGCTGCGTTGCCTCTGAATGCAACTACATCAGCTTCACTTGTGCTTGAACCTCTGGTATGGACACCAAGGCAGAGGGTTGGATTCTGGGCAAACTTTGAAACAAAGGACAAGGAATGGAGTGTGCCGTCTTCCATGTGGAAAATCTGGTGGCTGGGTGGCAGCAGGAGAGTTGCTGTTTGTCTCTGCCTTGACTTTCCCTTTTCTTGTAAAGTAGGCATAAATGCCAGGGTAGCTATGTTCCCTGATTAAGTGGCTTTATTTGTCATCTTAAGGTGTGTTATTGTCCTTGGCTAGGAGTAGTACATAAAATATAATTTGTAAATGGAGAAAGGCCAGGGTAACTGTATTCTCTAGTTCTATTATATAACTATGGTAACAGTCAAACAGTCAAAATTGCTTAATAAAAAAAGGAAAAAGAGTACTTTACTCATAACCCTAAAGAACAGAAGTTTCTTCAGTGTAGTATTATCAGCATACAGTATTACATTTTGGTGTTGGGAAAGTTTGTTTGTTTTTTCTTTTTTTTTTCCTTTTTCAGCTGCAGTTAAAAGCGTAGCCTTGAAACACTCCTGTTCTTTGTGCTGTTTGTGTTTTGAGATACCTGCAGTAATTTCTTGGTACACATGGAGAACATGAATACATAACATAGACTTATTAAGTTCCAAAAAAGGTTTCAAATAATCAGTGATTTGAAAAAGCCTGCCTGGATTTATGCTATTTTTAATAGAATCAAGTGTTATATGAGATGAGTATCTGCTGCAATTCATGACAATTTTTTGTGTTTGACCAACTACATACAATCTAACAAATTGAGGTGGCAGAACTATCTGGGCAGGGACTCTTTGTCAAGGAATGTAGTGACAGGGTGAGGGGCAATGGTTTTAAACTGCAAGAAGATACATTTAAATTAGATATTAGGAAGAAATTATTTACTGAGAGGGTGATGAGACACTGGAACAGGTTACCCCGAGAAGTTGTGGATGCCCCATCCCTGGAGGTGTTCAAAGCCAGGTTGGATGGGCCTTTGAGTAACCTGCTCTAGTGGGAGATGTCCCTGCCCATGGCAGGGGGATTGGAACTAGCTGATCTTTAAGGTCCCTTCAACCCAAACCATTCTATGATTCTATGATATTTAGCTTTTTGGACAAAGTAAAGCAGAAGGTTCTTCTCCCTGCTCGCTGTAAGACAGTGTTATCATTGTATAAGCACTGTGGTGAGCTATTAGTCAGAAGGGGATGACCCCTCAGCACTTGCAACAAAAAGCAAATCTTCAGATGGTGGCACGGGGATGATGAATTTCAATGCAGACTGAGAGATTTAACCCCAGAGGCATGGCTGCTTTTGAGGAAGCAGAGAAGAGGTGGTCCATGAGAGGCAAGGTTTCATCTTTCTTTTATCTTTGCTCGTGTGCTGCCTTTGCTCTGGTCCCAGGTAACATGATGGTTTTGTTAGTCACCTCTTCTCAGTGTCAAGCATCACTGCTTAAAGTGTGGCTGCTCCCATCACAGGAAAGGACAAAATGCTGCTCTTTTGCCAGCACAGTGATGGTCCTGGCAGTGGGTGCTATTGGGTGAAGCTGCCCCTTCTGGGAACAGACAGCAACTCACCTGCTTTGGCGTCTGAATGAAGAGCAACCAGAGCAAGTTTGCCTTTTGCAAGAGACAAAAACTGGGCACCACAATGATGTCCATCTTGTTGTCCCTAGCAGGTTACTGCCCTTTTCATTACCAACCTTGTCTATGCCTGCAGTTGACCTTGGTTATACCTCTAGATCTGACTGCTCATAGAGAGAAAAAAAGGAAGAAATTTATTTGCTTTTAAAATTTATTTGATCAGAGGCCAATTTTCAAAAATCAAATTAAGCAGATTTAAATTAAAAATACTGAGAGTAAGAATACTTTTTATGAAATGACGATGACCTGAATTATTGAAAACTATGGTAATATCCAGTTCCTCAATGCAGTGTTCCCTTCTGCTCTCCTATTGAATTTAAATGAGTTGACCTGTATGAAAACCTCTTCGTAGGTAACACAGTTTATAAGCACTGACAAGAAGAAGAGTCTGCAAAAGGGATCTTAAAAGGAAGCAGTCAACAAACGCTACTCTTATCCTTTTATTTATTTATTTACCTATTTATTTTTCCAAATTCCTTTGAATTAACTTGCAGCAGCATCTATACAAATACACGGTTACGCTCTAGGGGACAGAATGCTGGGAAGGAATGCTAAGCTGTGCTCTTAGCATTAAAACAAGATTTGTTGCCGCGCATTGTCTATAAATTCCCTTGAGTATCTTCAAATGAATTGCTGGGGTGTATTAAGATCTGTGTTCTCTGTGCTCAAGTTCACTTCCTCTGAGGCGTCTGAAATCCAGTGAACTCCTCAGAGCGCTGCTTCATCCTGGTTTCCCTGCTGTGTTTATACAGGGAGGTCTGGCCCTCACCTGCTCTTGCAGGTTGTGGGAATTGGTTCCCTCCCTGGCCAGCCAGAAGTGGGGCCACTGATGGTCTCCCCTGCCCACCCACTCTGCTGTCAGCACTCTCCATCAGCCTCCTCCCTGTGAGGACCACAGTGAGCAGCGCTGGTCCTCCATGTGGGTATCAGGTCACCACTGAGGGCTCTGCAAAGAATGAGGGTAATGCATCAGCATGATGACTTTTGTGGGTGAAATAAACCCACAGAAGAGTGACAGTGGGGGTGTGTGTGGTGGACAAGGGATAAGTGTAGGACAGATTAGCATCTCCGTGGTGCTGCTGGGCATCACAGTGTGTCCCGTTGGCATGGTGTCTCAGCTGAGCATGCTGCTGGTGGGGGAGCAGGGGCTAGTGTTGCTTAAAGTGACCTTGCCTCTGCCCCTGCTGCACACCAGGAGGGTGACTGGCTTGGCTGCTCCACCCTTGCACAACCTTGGGAGCATCCTGTGAAGATGCCTCAATGGCACGTCCTGGCAGGGGTTCAAACCATTCTTCAGCCATGGTGGGGCAAAAGAAAAGGGGGACAGTTTCTTGCCACCCAAGACAGCAATTAGGAGGGGGCTGCTGCTCTGTGTGGGACTGTGCAAGGAAACATCAGCGTGTGGCCAGGTGGGAAAGTGAGAGAGTGTTGAAAGAGCAGCGGAAGACGGTGAAGTGAGTAACATGGGGAGAAATGTCTGGGGAACTGTGATGATACAAATATCAGTCTGCGTGGTGCAGCTTCCCAAGACTGCATCTGGAAGGGGAGGTTCCAAAGAGCACTCAGGGGTATAACGCTCAGGCAGTTAGCTACAAAGATGGAGCCAATTTTTCCCTGGTTCTAGGCATTCAGTCTTTCTGTATAATCTCTGAAGAAGATAGAATTACTGAAGATGTCTCCATCCTCTTGCCATTTAATATTTCTTTCTCCCCCATTCCTTAGTACTAATACATTCCAGATTTTCATTAGCAAGAAAGTACTACCTGGATCTCCCCTCATCTTCTCCTCTGTCAAGCATGTGGGTGTTTTGACAAATTGCCACCCAGTCATCAGCTGGAAAAATCAATTCCTTCCACACTATTTTTCACTACACAGATTAACAGCTGGTAAAACATAGATAAAATTGCTGAGGTAAGTGGAAAGGAAGTCTCTAAAAGCTCTTAATCTAGATAACATTTCCACCAAATGGGAGTAAGCAGCCTTATTTTGTTGTACATTCAGCATTGCTTTGAAACAACTTAAGTGTGATGGAACTTCTAATGAGTTAGGTCTAGGTAATGACTTGCTGCTCCAGCTAAGTAGAGTGATGTAGGAGTCCTTAGGAGAAAGAAGATGTGAAGAAATGTTAAGAAGTTCTTCTCCAGATTAAGCAGGCCAAAATAAATTACCTCTAATTTCTGGGGGGAAATAAAACTAAACAAAAGACCTTGAAGTTCATGGTTCTTTTTCTTTATTGACAGAAAAGTGTCTTAATACTAGATCTTTTAAGCTAACCAGGAAAATATAAGAGTCCCAACTTAACTGGGAGTGATAAATCTTTGTGACTTCAATAATTCTTCTTGTCATGAAATTTTAGGGCACAAGTCCTATGACAAGCAGCTGAAGGAACTGGGGCTGTTTAGTGTGGAGAAAAGGAGGCTGAGAGGAGACCTTATCACTCTCTACAACTACCTAAAAGGAGGTTGTAATGAGGTGGAGGTTGGTCTCTTCTCCCAAGTAACAAGTGATAGGACAAGAGGAAATGGCCTGAAATTGCACCAGGGGAGGTTTAGTTTGGCTATTTGGAAAAAGTTCTTCACCAGAAGGGTTGTTGAACACTGAAAGAGGCTGCCCAGGGACGTGTTTGAATTGCCAACCCTGAAGGTATTTAAAAGACTGGTAGATGTGGTGCTCAGGGACATGGTTTAGTGGTGGTTTTTGGCAGTGGTGGCTTAATGGTTGGACTCAACAACCTAAAAGGTCAATTCCAACCTAGATGATCCTGTGATTCTATGACATATAAAGTGAATTTCTGCGGGATTCCTCAGATCTGTGATCTGAATTTCTCTGGACCTGAGATTTTTGCCCAGAAAATAAGCCTTCTTATTTTCTTCTTGGCAGTTTAAGTATTTCCAAATGTATAGGGACTCCATGGAATCAATCTATTTTGTATGTCTTAAAAGGCTATTTTTTTTGTCTAATAAAGTCTCTTATTAAACTACAAATCCTACTAATTTTTCAGATATATTTTTAGTCATATAGCTATAATAGGATTCTCAATGTATATACCGAGGGGTCTGCTTTCAGGCACTCTTTTATTATTAGTAGTAGTAGTCGAAGCAGTAATATTTTATACAGAGAGGGAAAGAAATAGAACAGTAACAAAATCAGGAACAGAAATTTAATCTGCATATGTTTGTGATGCCTTAGATAGGTGACAGTGTCAGGGGCTGAGCAATGTGCTGTGTTCTCTGTATGAGAAGGGGCTTGTATCCAAGAAAACAAAGGTTTAGAGCATAATTATCTTTTGAAACACATGCATAGTATTGTTCAGAGACCACACTAGAGCTACTCTGAAGTAAGGCTTCTGAGACACATACAGTGCATGTATACAGTTCCTGACACTGGCTGCTTTGATCTTCTAATCCACTCCTAATGCACTAATGTAAATGTAACCTAGAATCATGTTGTGTAACTCAGATCTATTCACAGTATTTTCTGAAGTTTACTGTGGGGAAAACAAATGTGGATATGGCTGATTTTTAACATCAAGGAGACAGATTCTGTTGACAGATAAAGAACATTGAAAGTAAATATCTCTGTGGTACCTTCCTTAAATGTGAACCTCAAGTCATCTGATCTGCTTAATTGTGGGAAAGGAGGAATGTCAAAGGAAACCTAATTAAAAGCATTTCATATAAACCATGACACTTTTATTTAGTTATCTCCCTGTTTTATTTAGAAGGTCACTTTGTCACAGTGCATAGCAATGAAAAGTGTTGATGATGTTACTATATTGAATTCTATGGGTCTTGGAGATTCGGCCAAGTCTCACCAAATCATTTTTAAAAGGTCATGTGAGAATGTTCTTAGATTTATGAATCAGTTTTGCTCTTTGTCAATGGGGCACAATCATACTTGTAGCTACTGGTTATTAAATTTGCATAAGTGTATCTCTGCTTGGGAATGCAAGCTTAGCAAAGGCCACCAGTGCTGGTACTTGCCACGTAACTCCTCTCTCTTTCCAAATCTGTGCATGTAATTTCCTGTTTGAGATAATGCTGCCTCGACAGAATAATCGTATTTCCTGACAACATTTTTTTTTTAAAAAACACAAAAGTGGCTACACCTCCACAGATATATAATCAGATTTCTTTATCCTTTGTCTGAGGACTCTTTGCAATTTTAAATCTGTAGTGTTTCACTAGAGATACTTAATCTTTCATTTATGCAGATGCTTTCATCCCAAAGCATCCCAGAGTACTCCTCAAATCGCTGGCCAAATCCAAAACCTGTTGATGTAAATGGAAAGACTCCCATTGACTTCAATGACGTTTGGTTAAGCTCATTAAATTGTAGCAATAATGACAAAAAATTTATTATATGTAGATTGTAAGTTCTGTCTAAAAGTTACTTTAATGCTAGCTTCTTTGCTTCTTTGAAATGTTTTGACTTTAGGTAGGTAGACACCCTGCTTTTATAATTTTATCTGACTTGTGTTAAATTGTTCTTTTTTCGTTTGTTTTTTTTTTTAATTATTCCATACAAATAGTTGAATTATACAAAACCTGAGAGTAATGCAACTGAGTAATCATGATAGGTATGTAGTCAAGTACATTGGTGACCAGCACTGGAAGATGGGAAGGGACACGGGCATCAGCAAATGTGCCCAATCTGCAGTGTATTCCTGTCTGCCCATTGCTTTGATGGCTTGGCCATGGCATTTTCAGTTGGTGACAGAAAGATGCACCAATTGGCATTTCCAAAAGGAAACAACAATTGAATGAATGACTGTTTGCAATTCCAGGCATCATAGAAATACGTAGGACTGTTTTATGCATGCAGTAAACCATCTCATGGTCACTGCTTCACATTGCCCACCAGCCCCTCCTTCTTGGTGAGAACAAGGTCCAGAATAGCACAACTCCTTGTTGACTTCTCTGTCACTTCTAGAAGTTATCACTAATGCATTCTAGGAACCTCCTGGATTGCTTACGCTCTGCTGTGTTGTCCCTCCAACAAACATCAGGGTGGTTGAA